AGCCAAAGAAGGACTAACTATGGTCAAATCTAGAGCATTGGGCCGCCAAGTTAAAGAGCCAACTGTGGTTGGTTGCCCATCATTAAGAAGAATCAAGTTATTTTCATCAATGATATCCAGAATATCTCGACCACGAGGATTTGTGGAATTACAGCCCCAAGAAGAGTGATGACCATTAAAATCACCTGCAAAAATCATCGGACCAGGGATAGATTTTATAAGAGAATCTAATTTGCTTTTACTAAAGGCAGGATTAGTATTTGGAGGACTGTAAAAGCTAACAATTGATATATCTTTATTTCTTATTGTAATACGAATACAAATATTTTGCAAAGTATTATCAAAATTTGTATTGATTTTAGTATAAACAATGTTATTGCGAATTAATATTGCAACTCCATTATGTATATTATCAGAATCATTTCTTTCTATGTTGTAACCTTTTATTTTGAATTGTTGATTCGGTCTTAGCCAAGTTTCTGATATTAATGCTAAATGAATGTTGTGTTCATAAAGAAAATTTGTAAATATGAGCCTACTGCTTACTAAACTCTGAGCATTCCATTGTACAATATTTAAGTTAGCCATTTTTATTTTTGGAAGGTATTTTTCTGAATGTATTATGTAAATTTTCTTTTATAGTATTACTATTTATAGGTACATTCTTATTAGATACTATATTCATTATTGTTTCTACTAATAAATTCATAAATAAGTCTGATTTTGATAAATTATTTAAATGTGTTTCTATCGATTTTTCGGCAAGTTTGGGAAATGATTTTTCATTAAACAGTTCTGAATACTGCACAGCTCTACTTTTAATTTTGTTGTCTTCGATCTGTTGCTTTTTAATTGGACAAGAGGATGAGATGGCTACGTGATTACCTCCACAGTTAGTGCACTTTGCATTTTCTATATCAACAGTACAAGATTTATAATTATGATTTGTCGAACAAATTGAACAGACTTCATTATTGCGACAAAACTTAGCAATGTGACCGAAACGCATGCAACGTAGGCACTGCTTAACAGGTGGAACGTATGGACTGACCTCGTGTCTCCAATGGTCTAGATATACGTATTCTGGCAACTGAGTAGAGGCAAACGTTACTGCGACTGTTTGCGTGGGCTGGTACGAGACTGCACCAGCATCCCCCCGCACACGCCGCATGAACCGCCGGACTTGTATAATGTTTTTGGAGCTACCTATCAAAGAGAAAATGTTTTTATTTGACAATTCGGTAGGGACAGATTTTAGCACACCGGTTACTTCAGTGTCCTTTGCTGGAATGGTGGCCACTACGTCCAACTCTTCCAAAAGTTTAGCATTTTGTAAAAAAACATTGGCATTGTTCGAAAGATCGAACGTTATGCCGACTTTATACCGATTAACCGGCCTTAAATGTAAAACACCGGACACGCAATGTGTTCGGATGGCTTTTGAAATTTTTATTCTGTCTTTGTCCGTAAATGGCGTATCGTAAGTTTTGTGAGACAAAAACACAACAAACTCTGTTTTATCTGCATTTTCAGGATATTTCCTTTGATACCCAGTTACTTTAAAGATCTTGAATTTCTGAGAGGTCTCAGACTCATCGTCCGAAGAACGACGACTATCATCGCCACCCCCAAAGTCTTTTTTCCGCTTTTTCGTACTAGCCATTTAACTTCTATATACCTATATTTGAATTGAAACACTATTTACATAAAACTATACAAGAATACACAAAAAAAAGAGAGAATTAAAATTAATGCAAAAAAAATCTTCAAAGCGCGCCTTTCCTCTTCGAAGGTTCCCGCCGAAAAACTCAAAAATGACATTTGACCAACTATATTTTTTAGTTTTCTCTTCTTGTAGGCAAAAGCAAAGCCAACCATGCAGCCAACGTCTTAATTTTTTTTAGTGTTTAGCACGAAATTTAGGCTAAGGTCGTAAAGAAATTTGCATGTTTTGTGTTGGTCCGGCTTGGAATTCACCTCAACTTAAACAAAGCTTACTAATGGCATCGTTTCTGGCATGGTTCTCTAAACCTAAACTTAAATTTGTTACAACAGTGTATCCTTGTCATTCTCCATACAGAATGAAAAGGGAAAACTTATGTTAAATTTAGTTTAAAAAATCATGTGATTTTGTGTTACAACCTAAGAGCATATACCAGTGTAGATGCCATACCTTTCACTAGCCGAACAAAATTTTCCGCCATTTTTAGTGGCGGGCGAGGTACTCACGTATAGCACACTAACGAAAATATGCAATACTCCCACAAACACGAGCGTGTTGTTGCTATAAACGCACACAAGCTAACAATTTTTTAACGATATTTGAATGAACAGGGGGTCAATCGCCTAACAAGATTTTTCATTTTTTTATTTCTGACAGCTGAAGGTTTAGAAATGCCTCGCGCTCGTGTTTTTTTTTGCATTAGTAATAACAATATTAAATAATATGAGCGTAAGGTATTTGAAATCCTTCGGGGGTCAGAAATAACAAAATAAAATCGTAAGCGATAGCGATAACCATATCAATTTCGTTAGGCAATTGACCCCGGTTCTTGATGATTAAACGTAATGTTTGTTTATAATGATATCAAAAAATTTTCACTTACGAATATCAATCTAAAAGTTTATTAATCTTTTTAGCACTTATGATTTTTATAAACAAAATGTAAAGTTTTTTTGCAAATTATATTTCTGTGCAAATTAATTTTATAACTGCGATTGGTTTCTTTCATTGTATACCCCGCCTACATTTAATTCCTTTTACCACCCTTAATAAAGTAGTATTTTGTCATCGTCATTATTTGTTTTCCTGATAATGTTTTCCTCGATTATTTAAGAAGTTAATAATTTTCTCATGTGTGATAAATGACAAAATACTCTGTGATTCAAGCTTTCGGCAAAGATCAATCCCATTCTTTCAACGAGTGCTTCGCTAGCGCACGCTTAGTTCAAAGTGGTAAAAAACGAAATATTTCAGAAATACGTATTGAGTACGTGCGTACGGAGCTCGATAACGCAGATGGTTAGCGCGATCGATCTGTGATCATAGAGATTAAGCAACTTTCGCAATGGTCAGTAATTTGATGAGTGACAAAAACTTATTATCTCGAGCTCCTGTCGAGTGGGGATATTATAAGGCTGATGATGATGATGTATTGAGCATATTATTTGGAAAAAAAATACAAGAATTACATCTTCTCTCCCACAATATAAGGTGTCCGTTATGCTAGCGTGCCCCACATCGAGTTTGAGGTTGTTACTTATGCTAATAAATAGTGCGTAAATAGTGCCTAATTCGTGCAATAATAAAAATAATTCTTCCTCTTTACTTTAGGAAATAATGGTGTCGACTCTAGCATGATTCTCTAAACCTAAACTTCAATTTGACAGCAGTATATCCTTGTCATTCTCTATACAGAATGAAAAGGAGAGACTGATGTTAAATTTAGTTTTAAGTTTAGAGAATCATGCCAGAATTGGCACCAATAACTGTTTTCATGATGTGACTGGCATGACGATCAAGGTAGCGTACACCAGGCCATTCTCGAAAACGGTTTATTGTTATGACACCAAACTATCATAGAAAATAGTGCACTAATAGTGCCCACGCTATGCAAAAGACAAGACTTATAAATAACCTTTGGTGCTGGTGTCATGGTAGCGCTACCTCAAGATTGCACATAGAAAGTTAACTTCTCTTTTAGCTTATACATGTATAATAGTGCGTATAATTCTGCCTCTGTTAGTATAAAAAGGGTATATGAATTTGCAATAGAATAATAAAAAAAATCGATGAGAAGTTCTGTTCATAGAAGAGGTACTGGCATGTTGAGAAGTACTTTGTAAACTTTATTTTAATACAGAAGGAAAGATAAATCTGACTAAATAGAAATAAAAAAATAAAAGCTTCATTATTTTGAAGATAAAATATAAATTAAAAAAAAAATTGGTGAATATGAAATAAATAACTTAATCTTTAAAGTAATATTTATTTTGCTAAAAACAGTAATTTTTATCACATCATAATCATGTGACTACGCACATAGTATATCATGACAATTTTTATAAGAATCTACCTATTTAATGTAATGCAATAAATGTAACACAGGTAATAATCAACAAATATATATAGGTAAAAATCGGTCTCATATTGAAAAGCGTAACTTCCTACCACACTAAAACATTAACTTATACAATCATTAATATATTATTATGTGGCAATCAAAAGGTAGGTACCATTAATTTGCTTTAATTAAAAAAAATCTTGGTTTTAGTATACATCACACATAATAACTTGTCCTCTTATTGGTCAGTGCAGATAATTTTTCCTCAAGAAAACAACATAATTTTCCATTTTTGTGTGAGCTCCAACTCGCCATAAGGAACGATCCAAAATGGTCGAGGTCGCACGTGAACTAGTTTTATCAAATACTATAGAAACTGTACCGAGTTGCTCCAATTCTATAGCATTTGGTTTATATAACGCACATGGTCAGTGTCCACGTACTTTGGCGAAAGGGGTTCGCCCGCCTATTCCGTCTCCATTGGTATATGCTCTAAGGTTACAACCGTCTGGGCAACTGATTAATTTGTGGATTCCATAAACGCTATTCTGGTGGAATGGATGTGTGAACTTTATTGTAATATTGTCTACCTTACAGAAGCTTATCGAAAAAGCTAACTCGATAAATTTCATGTCAAACACTCCAAGAAATGGTGTCGATTCTCTAAATTTAAACTTAAATTTGCGACAACCCTTGAAAATCCTTGTCATTCTCTATACAGAATGAAAACGACAGACTGATGTTAATTTTAGTTTTAAGTTTAGAGAATCACGCCGTAATCGACACCAATATTAAAATGCGTCACACAGACATTCTCATGTAAAAAAAGAATATTAATAAATAACTTAATATTAGGCAGTATGGGAAATGTTCCCTTCGCCTTCCCTGAAAGGGAAGAATAATATGTAGTATCTCTAACTAGTCTGTGGAAGAATATTAAAAAGAAATCGCTTTAATTTTTTTGATTGCTTTTATTTCATAAATACGAGAACAAGTACGAAATTGTTCTAAAAAAAGAAGAAGTAATTAAAAATGAATAAGTGTTTTCTGAAGACAAACAGCCCATTTGTAAATATTATTCGTCACAAAGGTTATAAACCTGCTGGTGGAATAAAGTACCCTGGAGGAATAGTGTATTACCCAAGGTAAAATTAAACATGTGAATAAATTGTACACTTTTAATTAGATAAAAATAACAAACGGGTTTAGAAACTTACTCAGACTCTGCTTGTACCAGGTAGTCATTATTTTTAATGTTCAGTGGCGGCCTGAGGCATAGCAAGGCTGGGGCGGGACCCGGACGTTATATCTTTTGAAAACTTAAGAAGCTCCTGGTGCTAAATCTTGCGACATGATTGTAACTATTTAATGAAGATTACATTATGAGATGAAATTAAAAATAAAAACAGGCTAAGTGCTAGCCTACTAACTCTTGTATATTGATACAGATGATAAAAAGTTAATATTTTATTAAAAGACCTATGTTGTAATGAGAGGGCAAGAACCTACAAAAGATGTGATAACTAAAATTTAGTTTTTGTTTAATATTTCTTGCATTCTCTTGACCATTGTTTTTTTTATGCAAGGTAATGTGAATTGAATAAAAATCTATGTATAAAAATCAAGTGAGATGAATATCTCCCACTTAATTGTCAAGTACGAGTCTGTTAAAATAGCTAATGCAACAGAAAAATGTAATGTCTTACATTACCAGTCCTGATCTCTACACCTAAAAGTGGATTGTGTTACTCCCGCTGTAGATTTGCAGACCGTTAAGCTTATTAACATTCACAAGTTCTTGTAATAGCGTAGACTGAATAAACAATATTGATTTTTTTCTGTGGACTTCTAACAGATAGAGGATAGCTCTATGTATAAGCAAACAAGCATCTGATCATTCTATAATGTTACAGGCATCCAAATCACAAAGATCCAGAATGTACACCATCAAAACTATTTAGAGTAGAAAGAATAAAATCAACTAAATATTTTCCTGCATCACAAAAGAAGATCTTAGAATCATTCAAAATTCATGAAGATGTAAGTATGTTCCAAATATTGTTATAGTACCTTTATATTTTGTAATTAAATTTTTCATCTCCTACAGGTTAGAGTTGCAATTGTAAAGAATATACCAGAAAATAACATGAGACTATGGAAAGTAAAGCATCTGATAAAAGTGACCCCAATTACATTTCCATATGGAGAACCTACAGTAGATGACATAAATTACACTGTTTTGCGGGAGAATGGTGAATGTTTAGTAAAGAAGAGTCTAGAGCCACAACCAAAGCAAATCGAAGCTTTAGAAGCATTTCATAACAGTGACAAGAAAATGGATTCTACAACTATTAAAAAAGACTCGAGGTACAAATGGAATAATGCTTATACAGGAGGATTTTAATAATTCTTGAAGGGATTGTAGATGTATTCTAGTGGTTAATAAACAAAAATCTTAAAACAAAACATTTTTTTTTTTCCTTTATTTACCTTTACATTCTATTTGATATAAACATTGGCAAAAATAGGAATTAATCATCATCCATAATCTGTTTCTTTCTCTTAAATATTAAATAATTGAAATATTCAGGAGTTTTAAAATAATTTTCCAATATGATTGCTTGTTTATTATTTCCAAGGGAAAATCGTGCATTTCCCCATGTTACAACAAGTGTTGGCTTTAATTTATGAAAATCCTTTAGGTGAAATTCATATTTCCTTATTTGATTGTGTATATGACCCCCAAAAATAGCCAAATAGTTATCACCATTCTGGTACAAACGAAGAACATACTTTGACAGTAATATTTTCACAGCTGCATGTAATGTAATAAAAGCACCCAAGTACAGTAAACAATCTATTGCATTGCTTGCTATAACAACATCATCCCCAAGAAGTACAGGATCGTTCATTTTTGTTTTATCAAAGACAAAGGCAGCATAATACAGTCCGCCTAAGCCAATAGTTGTTGTTGATAATGTTAAGTATGTAGATGCATAATTTAACCACTTCTCCATTGGGGCTTTGTATATTAAATTCCAATGTTTCGGGACATGATCTCTTTGTCGCCACCGTTCTTCAGTTTCAATAAACTTTGCAGGGTGTCGGGTAACGTATCTTATATTAGTTATTTTGGTAACATTTGGTCGAAGTAAAGATCTCGTGAAATAGAGAAAATTCATCTCCTTTGACTAGTTGCAGCAAAAATCAGTGTGAAAGTTTTATTTCATTTTGACTGACCTTCATTCAATTAGTTTTGTTGCAAGTTTCAATAAGATATGGTTGGTTATGTATCACTTATATAAGTAAATATACCTCCGACCGAATCAAAACGAATGCATTGGACTTAAAATTTTCTTTCTTTTAGGCAGTTTTTAGGTTATAATCAGGTTTCAGGGTTACCGACAGTAATATACTAAAATTCCCAACCGCATTGTCAAAATTCCTCTAATTTGGGGAAAGAAAAATGATAATCAAAAATCTTAGTAGAGTCGGTCCACGATAAGACTGACAGCAAATATTAAAACTGCACATGGCAGTAGGTACCTACTAATTATATAGTTTTATTAACTATGCCTGATACTTAATTTTTAACCTACATAAAAAAGGAGGTTCTCAATTATACTATATTTTAAATGCGAATGTTTGTTACTAAATGACGCTAAAAGGACTCTTTAAATGAAAGGGGTTTGGGTAAAAGTGGCTTGATTTTCAAAGTCTGCGGCCACGAATGCTTTATTTTTTAATGAATAGAACTAAAAAAAATAAAAATAAAATATTAAGGCCATTATATCTGTAAAGTACATCGAAGCCAATATATGATTTTATTAAAATAGAATAATCGTAAATTCATATCACTAAATCTTACGTGCTTTTTTGTATGAATTGTTGTCTAAAACATACCATTTAAGTTAATAACGGTTTAACAGACCCTTTTTTGTCTGGTTTGACCGCCTCAGCTAATCACATCAGTCTTTGGATATTCCACTTAGATCTCGTGTATGTGAAGATCATGTCAACTCTAAATATATGCCAGTGTAGCTGTCCGGCACGGCGTAATGCACCGTGCCGGACAGCTCGGGATCCCCACGGGCAGGGCCATGGGACGGGCGCAGATAGGGCGCACACTCGTCCTCTCCTGCCCACTCTTCTTCGGCGGGAGGGAGCGGTCAGGGAATCATCCTCCCGCTCCCTTTCGGCTGCCTCATTCTACGAGAAGACGTTCTTGCTGAAGGCGGCAGCCTTCCATGCCGTCTCGCTACTGAGCATGGCCTCTACCATGCTCCTCAGCGAGAGGGTTCCGTCTCCTAACGCCGCGATTAGGTCGCAGCGCTGCTGTAGCCAGGCCGGGCACTCCAACTAGGTGTGCTCGGTCGTTTCGTCCGGTTCGTTTCGTATGCGGAAAAGAGGCCGCCACACCGGCTTAGCACAGTGCCGACCGACGGCGACGCCAGGCGAACCGCCTCCTCTACCGACTTTGCCTTCGCCGCTACCAACGTGTCGTCGGCGAAGCAGACAACCTCCGTGCTGGGAAGAAGGCTGCCTCGCAACACCCAGTCGTACCCCAGGTTTCAGAGCAGTGGACACAGCACTGATCCCTGGGGTACCCCTGTGGCCATGGCCCGAGAGCATACGCTTCCATCGGGCCCCTCGTAGAAGACTGACCTCCTCTGCAGGTAGTCCTCCACGATGGCTTGCAGGTATGGAGGCACGCAGTGAAAATGTAGTGCCTCCATAATACACTCGTGGAGAGACTGTTCTCTTCTTCTTCTTTCAACGGGCGTTTCTGCAACTCGACGTCCTTATGGCGCCTGTTTTGCGTTAGGAGGGTGTATAGCCGGAATCACTCCAGCCAGCCCAGCTTCATCAGGAACGCCCCCAGGGCCTTCACATTTGTGACTGCCTCTTGGAGGTTTCCCGGTGAGCCAAGGTATTTCGCCCGGTATTCAGCCACTTCGTTGCATTCCAGCAGAACGTGAGTAGCTGTTTCTTCTGCCTCCATGCATCCTCTGCATAGAGGGTTGTCCGTGACGCCTAAGTTAAAAAGATGTCTGTTAAAATGTGCAGGTCCGGTAATAGCACCTGTTACCATGCACAATGTAGGTTTGCTTAGCTGTAGAAGAGTTTTGGAGAGGACAGCGTTCACCCGTGGCAAAGCGAGCTTGGTCTGCCTGCACGTCTCCAGATCGAGCCAGTGTTGCTGGTGTAATGCGGCTGTGTGCTCGCAGATTATATTTACGAGACAGCTTACTGGTATCGGGACGATTGGTTCGGGACCTGTTGGGGTCGAATCGGACCCCTTCCGGGCCAGCTCATCCGCAACGTCGTCGTTTCTGCGTGATCCACTGTGTCCCTTTATCCATTGGATAGTAATAGAATTGCTTTACCCTACCGTGTTTAGGGTTTGGTGGCATTCTTGCAGGAGGCTCGATTTGACTAAACAGGCATCTAAAGCTTGTTGTTGCTTTCGGACAGTATTCGTATTTCCTGTCCTGTTACCTTTCTTGAAAGGATCGCTCTTGCCGCCAGTATGATGCCCATACATTCAGCTTGAAAAACTGTGTTGTACGGGCTTAAGGGGAAAGCGATATGTATATTGAGGTCCTCAGAGAAAACACCCGCGCCCGTGCCCGTTGAGGTTTTAGAGCTGTCGGTGTAGATCATCAGAGCCTTGTATGATACCTTGGGATCGTTGTCATCCAATAGATGTATACTGTACTTTTTGTCAAATATGAAGGCAGGTATATTTTGGAGGAAAGACTGTTAAAGGCGTTGCGGATGTCTGCTACACCGCAATAGCAGTCTCTCCCCGACGAGTGGCCGCCTCGGTCCACCCCTTCAAAAGGGCCACCACCTCCACCGTGGATCGGTTTCGCCGGAACCCGAACTGGTGCTCTGCCAGATTTGAGTCCGGCTCCCTCAGGTGCTCGATGATACGCCCCGCCAGAATTCTTTCAAAGAACTTCCCAGCGTCAATCGAGCACCAATGCTACCGCGGTCCAGGTAGGTACTCTAGATCAAGTTTTTGATCTGTTTCTTTTTTTCCATTAATGTTAGCTTTTAGAAAGCGTTACCACAATACGAAACATGTATAATAATATCAGGAGATAATTTAATGAGCTTTTATATCATATGACTTTTGTTAGAATTCAAGATCAAATATCTTGGTTTCGATATTAGTTATGGAACTACTACTTTGCTAAGAACAATTCACATATATAGTACTATCAAACAATCATAATTAGTTCAGTGGCCGCTGAAAAAAAAATCAAGCCAACCTCCATACAAAATTACCCAATCCCCTTTAACACATGGTAGACAGCTTATAACCCGGAAAAAGACGTAGGATAACTTTTATCCCGGAAAAGTGTTTTGTTTTATAATGGCAACGCGACGACAAACACAAAAGCATATACATATTAGCAATATACATTTACTTTTCGCGCTGAACAAAATTGATAGAAAAGTAAAACGTTTTGAAAAAATAATACTGAGAGCTTTTAGAAAAAAAAAGTAAACAAGATACAAAATTTTCAACAAAGTCTTTAAAATACAAGTTGAAGGGATGATTAAATGAATACGCATGTTTTATCTTGTATCTGTATGGTAGATAAGTCACATCTCTGGTGACCCGGTGCAGATAGTGACCGAAATACCCATGATCGGTCGGGATCTGCACCATGCGGAAGGCGAGGCGGCCGCGCTGGCGTCCCACCCACTTCTCCACCAGGGGACAAAGGGCTTCAATTGTCTCGTAACCGGCATCAGCATGGGCGAGTGCCTGGTCCCATCGGCGCAGAGCTTCCCTCTGCGCGATGAACGGACCTGCTGTAACCGGTTGTTCGCCCCGCTCCGACCTCGATGCACGTCGGGCAGGACCTGTGCATCGATCACCATGCGCAGCTTGAGCCACTCGACCCATACCAGGGTTCCGTAGTGCCATCATTATCACGTATCCTTAACAATATCACACTGCCGCTAGCCCCCCACATTGGGAAGGACCCTTCGGAATGCGGCTGCAATAGCACACAACTGTGGAGCGAGAAGCTCAAAGAGCTCTTCGAAACTCCGTCGGGGTCCAGCACCAGGCCGAGGTATTTTAGGCTTCCTTCGACTGGTATTCGGACTCCTCTAAACTCGGACACAGTTTAGAGAATCCTAGCAGAATCAGGCCCAACTGCTTTTATTCCTGCCCGAGGCCCAACGAACCTACGAAGTCCTACGAATTACTCACATACCATCATAGGACGCGAATTCTATGTTCAAGAAGCATTATTGTATAAACTTTCAGTGAGTTAACCTCCGAATCCATCCCTTCAGGATCATCTCAATCTTAACAGCGATGTTACAATATAATAATAAATAACTAATATGAGAAAAAAACCTCAACATTAAACTGATTAAATTCCTCGAAAAAAAAACAAAACTTATTGCTGTTG